TAGATTGAATAGTACGTAATTAGGAAAAAGAGTCGTCGAAATGCTTGTGGCCTATTTAAATTCTATTATATTCAGCGTATGTCTTTATTTTGCTCTTTCATCCTTGTGTAAAATTAGTACATTTAAATTTAAGGAACTTTTATCTTTCTTATTGTAATAATTTTGCAATAAATGTTGAGTTTTTCTGATGAAATATCATAACACGCGCCTACAAAAGTCAAAATGAAAAGAGTTAAAGTAAATTCCAGCTAGGGTCCTTAACCTTTGTTGATTAAGGTGAATGAGTACCCAACCTAGGAAAATTGTGCGAGTGCAGTCCAAAACTCACAGAAACAATCAATCTGACTGCTAAAAAGACGTTTATACCCCCACTTTATCTTACAACCACCATTCACAACCACTTCATCGGAAAGCAAATCCTCCACCTCCATTTCATCTTAAACCAATTCATCCATAGCCGCTTCATACGAAAGCAAATCCACCTTAGTTAGCAATTCCATCCACTGCTCTCTAACCAAGTTTCACTGAAATTAAGCTTTGAATTATCGAATTTGCACAATGCCTATAGCAGCAGCACACATCATAAGGTTGCCTTATATTTTCTTATTCTTTGGGCTTCCATAGGTGATGTAGGAGTGGGTTCCATTCTCATTCTCGAGTTATTAAAATTTAAGGGTATAATTGTCATTTTATAAGAAAAATGACTTCATAGGTTCCATCATGAATTGACGCTGACCTTCTCATAAGTTAGAAACTTGGGGTGCTCCACAAAGAAGGTTGGGACCCATCATCACAATAAGCTAATATTGTGAACCCCAACTAGAGTTTATCGTCTTCATTTTTGTCGAATAAGGGCCTGTATGGACCCCCTTTTTGTTATAGATCGAATGCATTTTAAAATAGTAGATTGATTGAAAATGTATGATTAAAAATAAAAACAAGTTTTTGGGTTGTTTGTAATATTATTTTGTTGAAAAATATGAAGTTGAAAAGAAAAAAGAGAAAAATATATTTTGACAAAAATGATGATCAATTAGAAGCTAAGTTTCGTAGCACCTCACATATTAAAATCTACTGATCATATGATGTGTTAGAAAATAGGGGTCGTGAGTCGCCCATGTGGGATGACCCGACCCACATGTTATTGAAAGGGGTGGAGGGAATGACTTGAATTTTAAGTTCAAATATGTAACTCCCTACAATTACCATCAACTCGCATGCAACTTCCATTCATTTATGCATTGAAATATAAAGGGAGAAAGAGGACATGAAAAATAGAGTTTAAATTCGTCATTTTCGACCATGAAAAGATTCAACCATGAAAAGATTTTCGAATTCATCATTTCAAGTAAATTTCTT